ACAAATTTTACTCACAACTTAAAAACGAAAATATAACCGATAATGAGTACAGGTATGCACAAGATATCTGGAAAGAGTTTGATTGTAAGACTTTTGGTGATTATCATGATTTATACCTGAAAACTGACGTGTTACTATTAGCAGATGTTTTTGAAAGTTTTCGTGAAGTGAGTTATAATAATTATGGACTAGATCCTTGCTAGTATTATTCTGCCCCTGTGTTGTCATGGGATGCTTTGCTAAAGTTTAGTAAGGTAAGGTTAGAATTACTGACTGAAGTTGATATGTTCAATTTTATCGAAAAAGGTATCCGAGGTGGTATTAACGTGATAACAAAAAATATGCTGAAGCAAACAACAAATACCTGAAACAGTATAACCCTGACCTTCCTTCGAAGTATATAATTTATCTAGATTGTAATAATCTTTACGGTGGTTCGATGGCAGAACCAATGCCTTTTAGCGGATTTCATTGGATCACGGTTGATCGATTTCTATCAGAGACAGAAAAAAAGATACCCGATGATGTTTCCTATTTCGTTGAAGTTGATCTTGATTATCCAAATTCGCTACACAAATTACATAATGATTACCCTTTCTGTGCGGAATCGATGGTAATAGATTATAGTTTGTTATCAAAAGAACAACAAGCGTTAGCATCACCAAGGCAACATTCCATGGTCAAGAAACTAGTACCAAATTTACTTGATAAGAACAATTACGTTTTGCATTACAAAGTTTTAAAACAAGCAGTCGATGCTGGTCTTGTGTTGAGAAAAGTTCATCGTGTACTAAAATTTAATCAGTCGCCGTGGATGAGCGGTTATATTAACTCAAACACTTCAAGAAGGGCTGCAGCAAAAACAGAGTTTGAGAAAAACTTTTTTAAACTGACGAACAATTCCGTTTTTGGTAAGACGATGGAGAATATTAGGAAACGCGTAAATATCGAACTAGTCAATGATGTCAATCGCAGAAACAAACTTGTGTCAGACGATGATTTTGTGAGCATGAAAATATTTAATGAAAATCTTGTTGCGATACAAAGAAGAAAAACAAATCTAAAACTAAACAAGCCGATCTACGTTGGAGCTGCTGTGTTAGATTTATCAAAGTGGCTGATGTACGATTTTCATTATAATTTTGTTAAAAATCAGTGGCCGGCTAGTAGATTATTGTTTACTGATACTGATTCGCTCGTATATGAAATCGAATGCGAGGACATCTATCAGGACATGTACAATAATCGACATCTGTTTGATCTTTCCGATTATCCACGTGACAGTAAATTTCATGACGACACAAATAAAAAGGTTATTGGTAGTTTAAAGATGAAATGAACTCAAGCGCTATCAAATACTTTATCGGATTACGTAGTAAAATGTATGCCGTATTGCTAGATAATAATAAAATAACGAAAAAAGCAAAAGGTCTGCCTCGTGATTTTGTTAAAAAGTTTATGAAATTTGATGACTACAAGTACGCGCTTGATGGCGGTGTTAGTTTTATGAGAGCTATGGCAATTCGAACTAATCATCATAAGCTTGAAACAGATGTCATTATCAAACGTGGATTGTGTAATTTTGATGACAAACGTTATTGTGAAAATGGGGTAGATACATTTGCCCTTGGGTATTTTCATTGTGACTAAAATTTTATCTAAACTTATAAAATAATGTTTGAAAATTTGACAATGACAAATAGCTACAATAGTAACATCAAATATCTAATGATGGACGGTAAACAATTGACAGTTGAATTTAATAATGAGACATCAGGTATATGTTTTAATGGAACACATGACAAGTTAAAACTTTCGCTCATCAGATCTGATAACAGCGTGTATTTCAATTATCTCGAACAATTGTATCAAAAGTTGTTAGCGGAATTTAAAAACTTTCACAACCCCATTAGCCAACAAAAATATACTAAACTCACAATTGATCTCGATCGGTCAAAGGTATATTTTATCGACAAAAAATATCCTCTGAACAAACCAGAAATAAAAGATTTGTTTGAGTCCCGTCGCTGCGTGAGTGGTAAAGTAAAATTTAGTATCTATAATCGTGATAATGAAATATTTTTAATATCAACAGTTGAAACAATAATCATTGGTAACGAGATATAAAATAATATCATTTTCATTCTATTGCTAGTTTAATTTCCGCCTTGTTAACTGAAACGTTCTAATGTACAGTTTAATTTTCATCCTGTTATCTGATAAAAAATTTGTGGTAAAACCCATTTGCTGTCTTTAGAATAATCATATTCCACACATACGCTGTTCTAACAAATTCATCACTTCTGTTGACAGAGCTTATGGCATTCCAACACCTGTTGTTTTGTCTGGTTACAAAATATCTGTCTACATAGTAGTAGTATGGGAAAATGAGGGGTTTGGCGGGGGTGGGGGAGGAGGTGTGGGAGGGGGTGGTGGGCCAAAACCCTCATTTTCCCCTACTACTGGCAAAATGACAAAACATTCGTGTTTACTCATGACGGTGTATTTGACAGAATCTTCCCGTTATTTCCAGATGTTTCACGACATAACCAAATAAATCAAACACGTAGACGTCGGTTGTGAGGACTTGATCTTAGTCAATTATAAAAAAGTGGACTTTGTAGAAGCCGCCGAGTTTGGAAATGTCATTATTGCGGCTTTCATGACAGCCCATGATCGCTTAAAACTGTACGAATCATTATAACTATTAGGATATCGTGTGTTGTATTTTGAGACGGAGAGTTGCATCTACATCGATCGTCTGGGTCAACAGCAATATAAAATCGAAGGAGACCGTTTAGGAGCATGGACTGACGAGCATCCCGAGGACAAGATTATAAGTTTTGCAAGTGATGGTCCCAAAAAGTACAGCTACGAATAACGTGACCCACAAAGAGAAGTGCACACGGAGTGTAAAGTGAAATGATTGACTCTCAATCATCACATCAGTAAACTAGTGGACTTTGACATATTGAAGGAAGCTTTGCAGTCTGAACAGGATCGTAATTTTAAAGTGATCAGCAAGGAACCTCACAAGATTGTACGTTTACCAACACACCATATCGTCAGCTGGCCCTTGGAAAAGTCTATCAAATCGTGTACCAGAAGCGAGTACGGCTTCCAAACTACTTCATTTTACTGTACAGTCACGTCGAAATTGGTCAAAACGTCTAACTCCAATAGTTCATTGTGACTACAAACGCCAAGCGAGAAATATGAAGACATTCAAACAGCAAATATTGATCGTAAGTCTCAAGTAAAAAAAAATATAACTCGAGTGAGTGAGATGCTGGGCCTCTCGATCACATTACCAGTCCAGTACCACATCTTGGTTGTTTTTTTTTACTAACGCCATGGCAAACTATGTGCAACCAGTGCGATCAGTGCGATCAGTGCGACCAGTGCGACCAGTGCGATCAGTGCGACCAGTGCAACCAGTGCGACTTCCAGACTACAAGACTTTTACCTTTACCTTTTGGACATGCTGATGTCACCCAGTATTAAAGGACAACTTCCAAGAACGACACTCCAAAAAAGGAATAAACATCATTAGCTTCTTAAACCATAATACCGTCACATCAAAGTGCGTCCACGAAGAAAAAGAATTTATTAGACCTAAATGAGTATTTTATCATCCAAATGATATAGGCAGCGAGAAAAATTTAGGACGACAGAAGCAGCAAATTGTATTACGGACTTTTTTGACTCACTGTTAGAGAAACTCAAACGTCAGTGTCAAGTCAAAGATAGAGGTAGTTTGAGCCTATCTATGTATCACGACAATTTGAACTCTCCTGTATATCTCGGATTTAGTAAACCTGCATAATTAACTTCTTCCAAACTATTGAGGGCTATTTGTTTGACGATGCAGACAATGAGAGAAAAAAATTGACATTACGATGGGAAAGTCACCATTCATATGGCATACGCTCTACCTCCATTGGGAAGAAGACAATAACCATCATTGATCTGCTTGTCGATATGTGTACCTAGCACAATGAACATATTACCAGATTTACGAATTATCAAAAATGTACATTAATTGTAGTATGAGAAATGTCATTCTCTTATAAAATGTATATACGTTGTATATGTGTTTTTTGAAGGCATGAACTTTAATTTAAAAAGTTTAATAGGACCAAGAACTAAATAACTTGTCCATGAGTTTTTTCCATGCCCAAAATTTGTATGTATTAAATGGATAGTGCTTAGACCATGGCATAGGTCAGAGAGACCATGTATATGATTGAATAAATGTTTTGTACCCATACAAAACACTTTTCTTTTTTGAGTCTCTATTTTGTTTCTGAATCTTTCTTTGATACATCCTTGTCCTCTTTTTTGTGTTTCTGTTTGTCGATATGTGTCCCTATCAACCCTTTGTCCTACAAATAAATTTCACCCTGTAAATAGTTTTGACCCTATAAACCCCATGATGCCACTAATGTTCCCATTGACCTCCAGGCGACATTCCCATGTCAAATTCCCACTGACACCAATTTTGATGTACCCATTTTTAACGTTTAGATCCCGCTGATAATAAACTAGACCAATCCCTCGTTGCTATGTTCAATCACCCCATTTACTCCGTATTAAATCCCCCATGTTAAATTTCGCTTGTCGCCAAAGTTCCCCGTGGTATGTGTATATAATGCATTTTCCCATTGCCTGAACTACCCACACATACTACTATGGCTGTATGTTTTTCAAAATACATTCTTCTGCAGTTTCCCTCCGTCGTTTGTTGTATATTTTTCCATCTGCATTCTATGATATTTTATTCCATCGTTTGCTCATTTTTTATCATTGAGAATGTAAGCAATTCGGTATGTAATTTAGATTGGAAATTATGAATCAAATATTTTAATAAAAATGATAGGACGTAGTCAGTTCAATTACCTTACTCTACTCTATGCACGTACATGCCATTATATTACTCCACTCTTTACATGTGCATACCTTTACGTTATTCCACTCTATACACATACTTACATACAACCGCTCCTGTAGCCTAGTGGTTAGAGCGTCCGTCTCGGATGCGATAGGTCATAGGTTCGATCTCCGGTCGAGTAATACCAAAGGCTTACAAAAATGGTACTAACAGCTGTCTCGCTTGACGCTCAGCATTAAGAGGTTAGTGTTAGGACTGTTCGGTCTGGTGTCAGAATAATGTGACTGGATGGGACATCATACTACATGTCTGCGGTATGATGGCCCAGTGCTAGACATCACTATAAACTGTCATAATGCAGACATCGTAGCGATATGACTGAAAAATTGTTAAAGCTAAGTTAAAAAAATCATAATCGCATCTATACACATACATACCATTACATTACTCAACTCTATACACGTACATACGTATAAACCATTACCTTATTCCAGTCTATACACGTACATACCAGCACGTTACTCCACTCTATACACGTGTATACAATTGCGTTACTCCACTCTATACACTTACATACCATTACGTTATCCTACTCTATAAACTTACATACGTACATACTATTACGTTAATATCACTCTACTATACACGTACATACGTACTTACCATTAGGTTACTTCACTCTATACACGTACATACGTACATAACATTACGTTACTCCACGCTATTTACGTACATGCCTACATATCATTACGTTGCTCCATTTTATACATGTACATACGTACATACCATTACGTTACTCAATTCTATACACGCACATACCATTACGTTACTCCACTCTATACACGTACATACAAATACGTTACTCGACTATATACACATACATACCATTAGGTTACTCAACTCTACTAACGTACATACCAATACGTTATACCACTCTATAAACTTATATACGTACATACAATTACGTTGCTTCACTTTATACACGTACATACGTACATTCAATTGCTCTGCTCCACTCCATACACGTACATACGTACATACCATTACGTTTCTCCACTCTGTACCCGTACATGCGTATATGTCCCTACATTACTCTATTCTATATATACGTACATACCATTACGTTACTCCACTCTATACACGTACATACATACATTATATTACGTTACTCCACACTATACAGGTACATACGTACATTTCAGTATGTTACTCCACTCTATACACGTACATACGTACATTGCATTATGTTACTCCACTCTATACACGTACATAATGAACTCGAAGATCAAACCCATATTTTATGCACTACTGTTAATCTTGATATGTCCTTAACTCAAAACGTCCTTCAGTGGACAATTATGCACGTTAATATATTCAGAAGTATATGTTTTATGCGCATTTTAAAGTCTCCTTCGTAATTATACACCCAAAGGTGCCCGTCATTCAAAATGACTGCTGTCGCCTTTTTCAGATATGATATATTGCCTTTAGACGACCTAAAATAAACCCGGAAGCAGGATATAGGAATATACCTGTAATTTTGTATTAAGCCATTTTTCTTATGTTGAATGTATACTATTTAGATCGCTGACATATCCCTACAAGAAACGTGATCATGCTATATTGGTGAACTTTGTTAAAATGGGTAAGGTGTGATTTTCAGTTCAAGGAAGGAGACGTTGTCTCAAGAAAGAAGACAAAAGGCGTACTTTTGAGTTCAATAAAAGAGAGAAAGAGTTATTATCCTGAGTACAAAATGTATTCATCTGTTTTTGATTTTGTATATGCAACCGTTTGGTGTATGAAATCCACATTTACTCGTAAAAATGATTTTAAACGGACGTTGCAAGCGTTTATTTAACTTTCCTCACTATAAAAGCATTTTATTGCCATGAAAATCAACAAAAATTGTCCAGTTCAGCTTGTTGAGTTTGAACGTTATTTGTTTACTTAATTATCGGATGCAATGCATGTCCAGCCTTTAACAGCGTCATCATCAGGGCCTCCAGTCCAATCTTGGAACTTTGTCAGTGGACAGTTGTTCACAATGTGCGACATGATATTTTGAGCTCTGTAGCTACAGGGCTGACTGCGTAGTACACAGATGTCGTGGAGTGTTAAAGCCAAGAGGGCTGACAGTTGGTTCAGCTACGAGGGAGTGGTCAATAACATCTGCTGATGACCAGTCATAACTCCATTCGTAATACTCCTTCACCATGTCTACCGGTACGCAGCAAATTTCCTTCCCCACATCTCCGATGCCAGGAAGCAACAAAAAAAGCTGCTAAGGTCTATGTCAGTGAAATATTTTCACTGTACATGGATATCATTTCACGTACAACAGTCCGCTTTATTTCGAGACATCCAGTCTGAGTATGTTCGTTGTCGTAGGATATGACATCTATTTTTGCATGTAGTTTGTATGTCAACCCTGGTGTGGTGGACCAAACGTATAATTTATTATTGGTTACATTCAGTGACTTCGAAGTTTAATAAATTCTCTCTCTACCAAAAAATATGAATCGTATAGTTTTAGAAGTAGTAAGAGGTAGTGTTGGTTCTAGCTGAAAGACCTCTTTTTACCCCTTTCCCGCTCTCAGAATAAATATAAATTACCCCCTCTCTCTCTCTCTCCTAAAACTCCCACCCCAAACACAAAACACAAAGGCTGATTCTGGCTCAGATATAATCCTTTACATTAATATATCACATGTGTACCTAGACTATGTTTGTAACATATGTTGAGTAAGGAATTTTAATCTAGAAATAAATCAATACTCTCTGTACGAGCCATACGCAGTCTGAAAGATCAATATCTTCATATCAACCAAGCTAGGTAAATTGCCTTAATCATACTGCAATGTCACATGATTAGAACATTTTAGAAAACACCCAATCAAAATTTAAAACCTGAAAATTTGTGAGCAACGGTAAATTTATCAGAAACTAAAACCTGAAAATGTGTGAACCATGAGATTTCAGAACATTCTAGAAGATATTCACGCAAGTTTATAAGGCGGCCTAATTCTCTCACTGCACTTCTGCGCGTTCAAGGGGACTCTTCACTGGGCCAGATCAGGTAAGTGATATTATTCATTAAGAATAGATAATATTTCATACTTGTTTGATAATGGTTTTCATACTTGCTGACTCTCTTTGGTAAAAATGTATTTTAGTACACTGTTAATAATACGAAACTAGCGTATCAAATCGCTCATGTCATATTTTACACATTGCAAATAAGATTGTATCTAATCAAGTAATTTTTGTAAGTTATACTGGCTGTTTGGCAAGCATTTTGTGTAATTAAAAGTCGGGGTTCAATTTTTTTTACACATTGTAAGAGAAACATTAATATCAGATATGTTTAAGAAAAACGTATTTAATGATGATCCACTTGAAATTATACCAGAGCTGGTCATTAGCAACGTTAGATATGATATTACTCGAATTATTTTGTTATAGTATTTGTACAAAAATTTCACGCATCAAAGTTTTTTATGATAATATTTGTAGTACTGTATTATTGCGCCCACTTCATGATCTGGAATATCTTTTGAAATATGATTGAAATCAATTACACTTTTTTATTATAATATTTAATGATTTGATTAAGTAGTTAATTGTGGTGTTTCAGCTATAAATTACAGACAACACCAATAAAATTCTGCGTTAATGTTTCTATCATCTGCTAATAGCATAAACGTTTCCTCAGTATCTTTGTTTAACACTACAGACACAGTTCCAGAAAAAAATATCACACTAATGACGCCATGTAAATGTGGTAAATATACCAAACTTTGCACTGCTAAACACAGAGAGCCTATACACACCGGTAACTTCAGTAGTGTGTTTGATAGTATTATTTTGTGGTGTCCACCTCGCTAATCAGACACAACTGTGTACACAATATTTTTAATCTGCTTGCGAAGAATTTAATCAAATCCATTTTCTCAACAATATCAGGAATTCCACTGATAATATCGTTGAGTTTTGGGTTGTTATCAGCGAGTTTTATGTCGACAGTTGGTGGACTTCTACATAATTCGTTATTGGTTTTGTTCATGTTTATGCAACAATTTAAAAAACGTACTTTTATGATTAGCAAAATTAGTTTTGAGTGTGGTCATTTAATTGTTTATTGTAACTTCCTTATCATCGACATATGTCTTCATTGCAGCATCAAAATCACTCTTGTGTTCTTAGATTACTGATGTCATTATTGTTCATGTTGAGAAATGCATACATTATACCATTGCGCACTGACACGAACTTTGATTCTTGTTCGTCGACGTATTTCTTCTTTGCAGTGTCATTATCTTCGGTTGGGTTTCCAAGATACGTAATCTTATTTTGGTTCATAATAATGTTCTCCGTGAATAAATCACCAGCACTTTTAACATAATCGTTAACTGACCTACCAGAATCTTGTATCTTACCTTGGTTATTAAAAGTAACGATATTATTAGCAACCGCAGAAGGAATTCGTACAAGTACATCTAACAGTTGTACATTACTCGTTTTTAATTTACTTTTCTATCTTAGAAAAGAAAACTACTTCATTTGGATCCATACTTGTGATATTTAATAAATTATTGGTTTCATTTCTGAGTTGATCAAGAGTTGCATATCTTGGAAAATTACCTTGCTGAACTTTATCTGACCAATCTATCAAAAATGTTCCGAACTTTGCATAGTAGCTCATTATATCTATCGTTCTAAACAAATTATCGTTTAAATATAACACAAAATTATATAACAGCGATGGCGAAGATAATAAATTTTGATACCGAACGATTAATGAAACATATACCTAACAATGAAGTTCCAGACTATCATTATCTTTTTGTTGGGCGAACCGGATGGGGTAAAAGAATCTGTTATTAAATCTTTTGCTCAACAATAACTTCAACTATGAAAAGGTATATATTTACACAATTAATCCCCAACAGGACAAATACGAATTAAAAAAACGAGTACAATGATAAACTTCGTAATGAACTTGACGCTGGCGAGAATATATTTTTGATAATTAAACCAGAAGAACTTGTTCCAGTGAACGAACTTGATTCTTCCGAGCACAAAATAATCGTATTCGATGATATTCCGCTAAACAACGAGGAGATGAACAAGATTAGAAATTAGTTTTTATTATCACGTTATAAAAGATGTAATTCTGTT